GAGTCCGAGGGCTACGTGCTGGTGCGTGGGGACCCGGACCGCTCGACGACACCTCCGCGGCCTTCGGGCTACGACTTGCCTGCCTCGACCTCTACCTCTTCGCCTGCTCGCCCGCCTTCGGTGGCCTGTGGGTCTTCGGGGTCCTTGACGGCGAGCTCTTCGGCAACTCCTTCGGACGCCCTCCGGCAGCGGGTGGCGGACGACATTGGGGCCTACATTCAGCGCTGCCTCTCGGGGAATAACCGTGGCAGCAGCGGCCGCGAGAGGGTGAATCTGGCAAACCGGATCTACGTGATTGCCCGGGACGCCGCGGGAAACCTCTACGACCCCGTCCGTGTGGAGAACACCTGGCGGGACACCCAGCCCTTGGTGACTGTCGGGCCGGGGCCTGGAAAGCAGTTTGGTGACAGTGTTTTTGTGGGCCTTCCCAGCAGGTGGGAGGCAAAGCGTGCAGTGGCAGCGGCGGGCTTGAAGTGGCCGGCCGATGGCTGCTGAGGCGGAGGAGGAAGAGGGTGAACTCGGCTTGGACCTGCGCCGGTACGCCCTCGCTACACCTGCAGGTCCCGATTTTGACTACGGCCTATTGGCTATCCGGAGCACTGTCGCGGAGGCTGCGCCCTGGATTGCTTTGGTGGTGGTGGGCGAGAGCGAGAGTGGGGAGCCGATTGTGGCGCTGCCCGGCAAGGCCTGGCACCGGACCCAGTCTCGACGCTTGGTGCCTACCAGCTGCTTCCAGCTGCCCCGAGGCGCTTCTACTCGAGTGGTGGCCCCGGAGGACCGTGAGAATCCTTTGGAGGCCCTGGCCGTGCGCGTCTGGATCGGCCGCCTCAGCGCCGACTGGGGGCGCTACGTTGAGATTGTGGAGATTGGCGCGGCCGACCTGGAGCTCAACACAGCCTTCGGGGAGCCCCTGGAGGCCGAGCACGCTGATTGCATCCCGTTTGTCCCGGACTTGGTCGAGGCGGCGGGCGACCGGCTCCACTACCAGACCGCGGAGGAGGGCACTGGCGGGGAACCCGCGCCGAGGCCGGCTCCTGACGAGGCTGCTCCAGCATGGGCCACGCGGGTGGAGGAGCTCGAGCGTGGCATGGGCGACGTGCGCCGTGGAATCCAGGAGATCCTGGGGAAGCTGGGAAAGCCCGAGGTGAAAGCTCCGGCCAAGGCGGCTGCTCCTCGACCTTCAGCTCTTCGCGCTCGAGCCGGCCAGGCTGCCGGAGCGGGAGTGGTTGGTCTCGACCCGGCGGTGGTGCAAGCGGCCAGGTCAGCAGGGGTCCCCGAGAGCCACCTGGAGGAGATGGCGAGAGTGGTGGCCCAGAGCAAGACCAAACTCAAAGACCCTGCGGCATCCGCTCAGCCGACCCCTGTGATCCCCGACCTCAACACGGGCCCCCTGGACGAGACCGAGGAGGAGGACGAAGGCGACGAGGCCTTGCCGACCACGGCGGGGAACGACCAGGTGGCAGCCGCCATTGCAAAGCTGACGGTCATTGCCGAGAACCTCACCGCCTCCAAGCGCAGGGCGAGCACCCTGGAAGGCCTGTTGGAAGGAGGTGCTGGGGCCGACGGGCTTGGATCTGCCGCGGCTGGGCGGCGCAACGCAGCAGCCCTGAAGGTACTTCGCCGTGCTCTGGTGGACCGGCCTCGGGAGCTCGCCGACAACATGCTCGACCGCATGGGCGCCGACTTTGGATTGGCAAGGAGCGTGCCCGGGGCCGACCGAGTGCCTGTTACGGCACGTGCCTGGGTGGAGAGCCGGGCCCGCATCCAGCAGCAGTTCCCGACGACCGTGCAGATGGCCTGGATCCTTTCTGGCATCGTCGACGCCTTGGCCCGGGGCGACCACGACGAGGGACTGGCGCGAGCTTTGGTGGGCTTGGCGGCGATAGAGCAGTTGAGCCTGGACCGCGGCAGCTGGACGCTGGCCGAGCCGATGTTGTTGGAGGAACCGGCTCCGCTCAGCAGTTTCCATGGCCGGCAAATGCCCACCGGGAGCGAGCAGCCCTTCACTCGCCTCTTGGACGCCCGCTCCATCGAGCTGCTGGTCTACCAGGTGAGAGAGGTGGACGATTACTTGGAAAGGCGGCGGCGCTTGAGCTCGAGACGCACCGGCCACCCCACGGCCCAGGAGGAGGACGAGGACGACGAGAAGGACAAGAGTGTGGTCGAGGAGGGCCGCGGCTGGCGAGCAAAACCGAAGGCGAAGCCGAAGGCCAAGACGGCCGCCGGCCGGACCGAGAATGCATGACTTCGCGGCCCTCGGGTCGCCCTGGGCGTGGAGCGCCCAAGGAATTCGTTAGCGCTGGAGAAGCTCCTCCCCGAGTCCCTGGTGCAGCGGCTCGGCCTATTTTGGCGGCGTCCCTCTGGGCTTCTTTGCCGCGGTGGGTGCTAGAGCAGCCTACCCCTTTTGCTTCTTTTTTCCGCAGCCTGGTGACACAGAAGCCGAAGCAGGGAGCTCCTGCTACCGGACAGGCCTTTCCTATGCCCCTGCCTTACCCGAGCGTCTACAAGAGGAGCGCTCGACGACGGACCTCGCGCCTTCGCGCCTCGGAGCGGCATGCTGTGAACTTGGTGGTGGCTGTGCTTTCTTGGCTGGCTTTGGACTGCCCGGCGGCCGGCCCTGCTTGGATCTCCTTGGGGCAGCCGCTCACTGGCGAGCAGCGTGGGGCAGTCCGCCGTTTGGAAAGTTTTGTTCGAGTTCTGGTCCGCCAGCCTATGGTGGGCCCTTCCGAGATGGGACGGGTGGCTGCTAAGGTGGAGGCGGTCGAGCAGCAGCTGGGCAGGCTGGAGACCATTGCGCGGCGACTGGGCCGGGTGAGCAGCCACTATTTGGGGAACCCCGACCATATCGACTACGATTCGCCGCCGCCGGCGCGCTTCCTGCGGGTGGGGGCCGGGCTCTGCTCCGGCCGCGGCGTCTACGACCACGGCGGGGACCGAGCATTTGACAGGCTGCTTGCCTCCCGGTGCCGGCTTTTACTTGGAAGACCCGGCCGCTGAGTTTGCCGACTGCCTTCGCCTTGGGGGCGACGCCGAGACCGTGGCCAAACCTCTGGAGAGCCACAGGTTGGTTATGACGGGCCGGCCGGCGTTTGACCCCACCCCTCACCTGGATCCAGAAGCCCGCTCGCACTACCTGGACCCGGCCGCGTGGATGAAGGACCCCGAGACTCTCGATGAGGCGCTCCCCCGGCCGAAGTTCAAGGCTACGCGAGCTGAGCGACTTCGTGTGCTCAAGATGCTGGACGACACCGACCGCCTTCGCTTTATCCCGGCGGACCTTGTGGACCCTCGCTTCACCAGCGGCTTGTTTGCGATCATCAAGGACCAGGACCGGGACAGGATGATAATGGATTGCCGCTGCCCGAACGCCTTGGAGAGCGCCACGGGGAGGTGGATCCGGACAATGGCCACGGCCGCTTCGCTTCTCAACCTTTCGCTGGGCCCGACCGAGGAGCTGGTGATGGCAGGGGAGGACCTGAAGGATTATTATTATTTCTTCAAAACGCCGCCTGCCAGGCTACTTCGGAACGTGGTCACCGGCAAGCTCCCTCGTGATGTTGCCGCCACCTTTGCCGGTTTTAGCTCCGCTGAAGACGGCCACGCCTTCTACTATGCCGCGCTGAACACTCTCCCAATGGGGGACCTGAACGCTGTCAGCTACGGGCAAACAGCACATGTGTCCTTGCTGCTGACCCACACTGACGTGCAGCTGGCTGAGCTGCTCACCTTGGACAGCCGTCCCCCGCGTGGCTGCTTCGCCACGGGGATATGCATCGACGACTTTGTCTGCATGGAGAAGCGGCCCCGCGGCTCGGGACTACCGCGCCGGACTTCGCGCGTCATGCGCGGCATGCGCCGAGGGTACGCCCTGGCCGGCCTGGAGCGGAGCGAGAAGAAGGCGTTCGAGGGAGCCACCAAGGCGAGCTTTTGGGGCGCCACGGTGGACGGCGAAAGCGGAGATGTTCGGGCCCTCCCGACGCGGGCTCTCCCCTGGAGATCAGCCGCCTAGGGCTGGCGACGCGGGCCCTCCTGGACTTGGTGGCGGGCAGCCTGGTGGCGATCTTTTCGTTCCGGCGCCGACTGCTGAGCATGCTGAATCTGGTTTATACCGAGGGCCGCGGCCTTCCCCGGGACATGGTGTTTTCGCTGAGTGCTGGCCTCCGCGACGAGCTCACCACCTCGGCGATTCTCATCAGCACCGCGGCCACGAACCTACGAGCTCGCCCGTCGCCTGTCCTGGTGGCCACGGACGCTTCTCTGGACTGGGAGGCGGGAGTGGAAGCGGAGATCGGACCGGAGGTCGCTCGCGAGGTGGCCCGGCACGCCCTGATCAAGCCGCTCTGGAACCGACTGCTGCGACCGGGGGCGGCTCGTGAACGAGTCTCGGGTTCTTCTACCTGTTTCGGAGGAGCTCCCCGAGGACGAGGTCAAAGCCCACCCTTTGTGGTCGAAGCTGGCGCGGGCTTTGCAGTATGGAGGAGCTTGGCGGCGACCTTGTCGGCGAGGACGGCACATTAACATTTCCGAGGTGCGCGCTGGGCTGCAGGGCGAGCTCCGACATGCCAGGCGACGGCCCCGCAGCAGATTGAACTTGGCCATGGACTCGCAGGTGGCCTTGGGCGCTCTGGGGAAGGGCCGCTCGAGCAGCTCGGCGATAAACCGGGAGTTGCGCCGCAGCCTCCCGGCACACCTGGGCTACGAGAGCTACCTGGACTTGATGTACTACGCTTCGGCGGAGAACCCGGCCGACGACGGCACCCGCAACGTGCCGCTTAGGACTCCCAGCGAAGAGCTTCCTCACTGGTGGGCCGCGGCGCTGCAGGGCGAGTTCGCGGGACTGGACGCCTGGCTGGCCGAGCGAGGGGCTCTTCCTCAGGATGCCTTGGGGCTGCCGCCGCTGACTGAGCTGGGCGTGGTTCGCACTCAGGTGACTTCAAGGAAGGAGGCTCGACGAAGCTGGTGGCAGCGGCCTTCGCAACGACGTCTGGACAAGGCCACTTTGCCCCTGCACATACAGAGGCTCCTGCGGGCCCTCCCCGAGCAGCAGTTCCTCACGGCCGGCGGCAAGGCCCCCGACCTTTGCGAGAAAGGTTTCCTGGACTTGTACAGCGGCTCCTACGGGGCGGCTAGAGCCTTGGCTCGGCGGTCTGGCTGCTGGGTTCTGACCTTTGAGCTGCACCGAGATGCTGGAGAGGATCTGCTGGACGCCGCGTGCCAGGCCAGGATCCTGGAGCTGATCGCCGGCGGGGCTTTTTACTGTGTGGGAGGAGGCCCGGTGTGTTCGAGCATGAGTCGTGCCATCCGGCCCCCGGTGCGGTCGAAAGTGCACCCGGCTGGTCTTCCCGACTGTCGCCCGGCTATGCAGGCAAAGGTCGCGGCGGGCAACCAGCATGCGGCTTTCGCGGCCCGTGTGGTGGAGACGGCGGCGCAGGTCGGCACTGACTTTTGGATCGAGAACCCGGCGGCTTCTTTCCTTTGGCAGCAGCCTGCGTGGCAAGCCCTGACAGAGGGAGTTGGCAGTCCTGGCGGCTTCTTTCTGCTGGACTTCTGCAGGTGCGGCTCCCCTTGGCGCAAGCGCACCTTGATTTACACCTCGACCGCCCTCCGAGGACAACGTCTTTTGTGCAGCTGCTCGGGCCCTCATCAGCGCCTGAGTGGGTATTGCAAGGAGAGGCGGCAGATGTGGACCAAGGTGGCAGAGAGCTATCCCCGGCCGCTGAATGGGCTCTTGGCCGCGGCAGCGACGGAGGCTATGAGGCCCCTGGGCGACCGGCGGCACATCAGTGCCTGTGACATTTGCCGATGCGGCTCTCAGCGGATTGGGGAGGCGGACAATCCTGGGCCGGCCGAGGTCTGCTTGGAGGAGGTGCAGCTGGTGAGCGCTCGCACGCAAGCTCTGCAGCACCGCCTCTTGACTGACTTCAGAACCTGGTTGGCTTCCCAACTTTCCCGCCCGGCTCGGCTAAGTCTAGAGGGTTGTGCCATGGCTTTTTGCGCGGTGCTGCGGGCCTACGGTAACCACCTTTTTCAGACTGGGCAGCCCCTCTACAAGTGGCGGCACCTTTGTGCGTATTTCCAGAAGGAGAGGCTGACACTGCGGCCTTACATGCCTATGTGCTGGGATCTCACGACTCGGTGGGAAAGACTGTGCCCGACGGCGCACCGGACTCCAGTGCCCTACGCCCTGGCTCGAGCTGTGATTTCACTTTCGCTGGCGCTGGGTTGGGCACGCTTCGCTGCCGTGGTGGGCTTGTCTTTTTACGGCACGGCTCGTGTGGGGGAGCCTCTTCGCGCCCACCGTGGCGCAATTCTTCTCCCAAGCGACTTGTTGCTGGACGAGCTCCCCGCTTGCTACGTGAGAGTCGAAGCCCCTAAGACCAGCCACCGGGGCACAGGCCGAGTGCAGCACTTCGTGGTTAGGGAACCTTCTTTTGTGAAGTTTCTGGAGCGCCTGTTGGCAAACGACCCGCTGACTCAAAAGCTCTTCCCGGCTTCCGCTGCAACGTTTCGACGGCGCTGGGACTACGTTCTGGAGAGACTTGGAGTCCCGGCTGTGGTCAAGCTGACGCCGGGCGGCCTGCGCGGGGGCGGTGCGGTTTATCTGTACCAACGCGGCACCCCTGTGCACGACCTTCTCTGGAGTATGCGCTTACGGTCGCAGGCCACGCTTGAAAGCTACCTCCAAGAGGTGGCAGCAGTCAGTGTTCTGCCGGCACTGGCTGCTACCACCCGACAAAGGATAGCTGCTGCCGCTTCGGTGTGTGATGTTCAGTTGGAGCACTTCCGGCCTAGCAGCTAGTGGCAGCACCAACGCCACTTCTTCTGTTGGGCAGCTGGAGCGGGGTGGATGGAGCCCTGGCAAACCTTTTGAAAGCGACCGGAGCTCCTCTTTGCGACAGCCTAGAAGGCTCTGCAGAGGCGCGGCCGTGACTACAGGCTTACCAGGAGCTGCAAACAGGACCTCACCGGCTTGCCCAGGCAGGAAAAAGAACGAGGGGAACGGCGAACGAGTGTTCATGCAAATCATGAATACGAAATGAGCCTTGCCTCGTAGAGTTTCGGCTCCCACCCGCCCACCCGGTGGATGGATGGAGCCCTGGCAAACCTTTTG